AAGCTGGATAAGGAATATTTGTGCTAAGCATAATGAGTTCAAGCTGAAAGAATTTGAATGAATTGAAGTGTGTGAATTTTATTACCAAGCCAAGTGAGCTACTATCATTGACATTCAGAAATGAGCATGATGAAAATGGTAAGGTCGTGAATAACAAGGGTAAACTTATAGCCCAAGGTTTCACAACAAAAAAGGTTTGTTTCTTCATTGAGATTATTGTTATATGATATCTTTATGGTCATCTTACAAAGCTTTTAAATATTTTTGATATGTTTGAAATGATTTTATAATTGAAGAATATTTTTTTTAAGCATCAATGTTGAGAGTTTTTAAACAGTATTCATGTGACCAAGAAGTTTTATTTCTCTTCCCAAAAATAATTTTTAAAAAACATGTAATTATATTTTTAAAGTTGTACAATTTGTATTGACGATATTATATTTCGAAGTACTGATATAAAGGTGGATCAAGAATTCTATAAAATTTTGCTAGGTGGCTGAATTCGAGATGAGCATGAGGGAGAATTAACATTCTTCTTCAAGCTCCATGCCAAGGAAGAAAATGTCATTAACTAAGCCAAATGCACAAAGGGGCAATTCAAAAGATTTGGTGGGAAGAATTCAATAGTCACAAAATTTTGGACAAGGATAAAAGTTGTGGACAACAAAAGCAAAAATGGTTTATGTCACTTGTTTTGAAAGTTTATTTGCGCAATGAAAACAAATCTCTTCAGCCCCATCTATAGCGGAAGGTGGATACATCTCCATGAGAAAATATTTCCTCATATGAGGGAAGAAATTGGTATTACTAATGATATTTCTTGTATCCTTTCATGGTAAAAATGATCATCTTGGTTCTATGTGCTTAGTATTTGTGTGTTTCCAAGTATATCTTGCAATCTACCTAAGGTTCTAGAAAGCTACAGATATTTTTGAATCAATTCAAATATCGTTTTCTATTATTCTTGTGATCTAGCATGGTTGAAAGTATTTTACTACAATTCTCACTGATGTTATACTCAAATTGATATAAAGTCCTCCAGTCATTTTTGAAGTGATTATATGCTGTGCACCTATTGTGAATCGATGGCGCTTTAAATATGTTTTTTTTGCTGTGAGTTTTCATATTGAATATTTGCCAGAATTGTCGTATGATAAAACTTTTCTAAAGCTTTTTAATTGCTTTAAAATCACTATTTTCTACTTCCAGTTTATGTGATTCCTAAGCACTCTCATTGATTGGATACTTGGAAAGGAAAAATATATAGCGAATTATATTGGTCGCTTGACTTTTATATCCTTAGGTTCATGTATTTAGAATTTGTTACTCCCTTTTGATGATGACAAAAGGGGGAGAAAATATACGGTACAAAACTTTCCTTGCACATGTTATAGATAAAATGCATGAAGGCAGGGGAGCATGACTATGGAACCCTTAGAGTAAGGGGGAGCATTTACCTTCCATGGAAGAGTAAGATCGATATAAGCGGGACATTTCAGGAAAGTAACTAGTCTATCTAGCTTATTACTTTAGATGCACTTTAATTAAGTTTTTGATGCAATCTTCATGTTTTGTACTCAATGGTTTGCCATCAATAAAAATGGGAGATTGTTATCCCCAAGGTTTCACATATTGATTTTGATAATACCAAACCAACATAACTTTTAGTAAAAGAATATTTACTTGTGGTAAATTATTTTTGTACAGGTTTTCTAAAAGAAGAATGATCAAAGACGATATATAGAAGATTTGCAGAAGAAAGAAGGAGATACGAAAGATGTTATAAAGAAGGAAAGTCCCAAGCTAATGGCTATGATATAGAAGCATACTATGGTAAAAGATTGTGAAAGAGAAGCAGCTTGGAAAATTATATTCAAAGGATAAGAAGGAAATATTTTATTGGAAGGAGATATCATTGAATATTTTAAGGAGCAAATATGCTTCGTTGATCAAGGAATTTATTATGGAAGAGATTTGGAGAATCCATGAGTACTTACTTACTAATTAAAGGGAAGAAATTACACATCAAGCTTACTAGATATTTTGTCCGATACAAATGAATGGTCCAAGTCCAAGAAGCATTTGGCAAGGAAATATTTACTACTGATTGTGATGGAAGTAAAAATATTCTTACTACAACCGATATTTTGAAAAGTATTTGAATTGAAGGAAATAATATCATTTAGAGAGATCAAGACAGTAAAAAGTACATGTTCAAGATGAAGCACGTGACTAGATTCAAAGTAATACAAATCAAGATCCAGTAGAAAGAAGAGGATCTTGAAATTCTATTGAATTATCTAAATAAGAGCTAAAGTTTGTGCAACCAAAAATCTGCCTTAAGAAGAACTTAGAGTTATTTTTGGAAGACTCTACAAGCTAATGATGTCTAAGTTCAACGATAGACCAGGATGTGTCAGAGATATTTTGGACTAACAATGAAGATGCATTCAGCAAGAATAAATCTTGATTGGTACTTCGTCAAAGAAGGAAAGATTCAAATCTAAAAAGAGATTGGTACTACAATGAAAAGTGAATGAATATAAATGGAATTAAAGGAAGTATCAAGAATATAAAGGCAAATGTAATATGCCTTATAGAAGTCATGTGCATGTATATTTACATATGAAGACTTGATGACTTACATGGAAAGAATCTTTTATACAAAAGGCATTAAATAATATAGCCTTGATTTTTGGAATTGTAAAGGAAAAGATCTCAAATCTATGTGAGATCAAATCTGTACA